GATTACGGAATTATACTTTTATAAAGGAAACTTTTTTATGCCGTTGAAATAGATACTTTACACAGTCGCTGAAATTGGTGTTAATATTTTTAAAAGAAATTGTTTTAAATTAATAAGAAATTTGAACTTGTTTATTTGATAAGAAAACTTTACTTGTGACTTATCAATATCACTTCGTTGACTTCTGTATTCTGTTTTTATTACCGCATTAGATCTAATTAATTCATAGTTAAAATCAGACATTTTTTTACTATTACTAAATCAATTCTGTTACGAATTCTTATTATTTAGCATGAAGTCTGTAATTTTACTATCTATCATTCTCTATTTAACATAGCTCTGTTAAATGCTTTATAAAGTTCTTTATATGGTATTTATCTTAAGAAGCTTGTATGTATAAATTGAAGAGTTTTTAATTTATGGCGAGAAACCTATTTTTAATGGATCTTGAAAAATAATATCAAAGTATATTCTCTCCATAGATAACATTTTTTAAATATATATTATTAGTATTTTCTAAATCTTTCGAAATATTGAAAAAATATATTTCTCGTCTTTTGATGTATAATAACTAATAAGCTGTTATGTTGTGTTCAAATTCTATCAATTTAATTTAAGTTACACGGCAGCATTTTGTGGAACTCTGTGGTCCTATTAAAGCTTCGTTATATACTTTTTAACAACACATGCATAAAAATTGCAATTTCCTTCTCTATATGCATTTATTCTTGGCAACCCTTACTACTGAATTCTCTCATAATTTTTCATTTCATTCATTCCATTGTTGTTCATCTTCAGTTTTCGTTTCTTTTTGTTACTTTGAATATTTTATTTTTATTATTTAGTTTAATAATTCAGCTTAAAATTTACTATTTAATATATATTAAAGACATTATTAAAACATACAGTAAGCATGCAAAATGTATTTGTTTTCTTATGTTTTAATATAGTTAAATTCTTTACTATCAATATATAATAATACTTTGGAGTAATAGTAGAGTATAGAGTAAAATAGTAAGTAATTCGGTGTTATTTGTTTATGCCAATTTAAGTAGGTAACTTGGTTTTAAAGGTATTTAATAGAGGTGAGTATTTGGTAGGTAGAGTAATAAAAAAGATAAGTTAGAGAGATTTTTTATAAACTCTATTTCTGTTTGAAAGAGAATACTAACTGGCTGCATTTAGTTATTTAATAATTTTAAAAAAATCTAACAAAATTATAAAATTCCTTCTAAAAATTTAACATTTAACTAAATAAAATTATTTTAATGATATTAACAAAGCAAACTTAATAAACTTAACTGACTTTAATATAGTTTATCTAATTTAAAATTAGTTAACAATATATGTTTTTTTTTTTGGAGTTTGAAAAATGTTTATACTGCTTTCACAAAATAATGATATAATCTGGAAATTTAATTTTAAATCATGTTGTTATTAAATATTCTTGCTTTGTCTTACTAACTGCTAAAGAAACGCACATATTGTATCTAAGAGAAGCTGCAGTGTGTTTTGCGTCTAGGTAACTAAGTTAACTGCTACTAAGCTTTTTGGTTGGTACTGTTTCTGTATTATTCACTAAATTCTGCAAGTAATTTATTAGTGGGCTAGATCGCGTGCACTGAACATACACTAAATGTAGTGCATTTTGGGCGGTCTCTGCACTTGATTAACTTCATTCCCACCAATTAATGCTACTCTTGGTTTATTATACAGTGTTGTGTTCTGTTAAAGCTGCTGTTAAATTTTATTTTATTTTTTATTTACACCATTTAACATCAAACAATTATGCACAATTTATTAGCGTTTAAACAATAAATTCTTAAATTCAAAATATAATTTTCTTACAAAATATATAGAAGAGAGCATAAATAAACAGTTAAAATATTTATAATTAAATGAAATAAATAAAAAAAATATTGTTTTGCTGAAAAGTTCTCCATTTCACATTAAATTAATTTATTTAATATACATTCCTAGTATTTAGTAAAGTTGTGTTGTTGTTTTATACTGTTGTAGGACTGTAAAGTTTTAACGATATTCGTGAACTCCAACTGTGCAGGATGTTTCAATGTTGATAATTATGATGTTGACGATAATGATGATGATGATGTGTTGATTGATTGATTGATTGGTAAATTGTTTGTTTGATTGTTATATATAATTTCAATGTTTTGAAGTTAATTATTTTACAAATAGTTGTTGTTATATAGCATAATAAAGGCAGCAGTAATATATATTCAATTAAAGAGAAAAGAGAGAAAATATGAGAGAAAGAGAAAAAGACAAAAATAGTAAGAGATAGATAGTAAAAAAATATTGATATATATATAATATGTATATATATTATTAAATATTATAAGTAATTATATCGTTTATTTTACTACACATATTTTTTTTTTAATTTACAAAAGCAATAGTAAAATTATAAGCATGCCATACACAATAAATTAATATAATTAAACAAATAACTTATATTGTAGGAAAAATATTATGCCTTCATGTTTTTATTTACAATTTGCGTGTTCCTATGTTTTTCTCCTTTTTAAAAGCTATTATTAAATTCTTAATATATTTTTTAATTGCAAATAATGTAGTGCATTTCATAGCGAAGTTAATTTATTTTTTCCATACAATTGAAGTTTGTATATTACATACAGATATTGCATTTTACTATTAGATATTATTTTTAGAGTGCAGTTCAAGCTGTACAAAAGTATGTAGAAAACCCTATAGAGTTGAAGTAAATTTGTTTTTATTTTCGAAAAATTTTTCTTGTCTTAATTTTTCAATAGTTCAGTAAAAATATTAAAATTTTTTAAGAAATTTTACTAAAACTATCACAGCTTTACTTGAATTGCTTAAATAGCTTATTATCTACACTCTATTTTTATTTTAATAAAATCTTGTTAATTGTTTGCAAAAGTTTTTATATAATTATTTTTTTTTTTTAAACACAACACATAACATTTACATAATAAAAGCAATTGCATTAAATTATTGAATAATTTAATATGCTTTTTTCACTATTTCCTTATCACAAAAATGCTTCAATATCTTGTGTAATAAAATATTCTATTTATACATATTACTGTTTACATACATAATATTAGTATGTAAATTATTTACAGTTTCGAATTATTGATGTGTGATGCAATAATACTAATTATTATTGCCTGTATGATGTGTAGGATTTTTATAAAATGCAATGCAGTAAGGAAAGGGTGCAAGTTGAATATTGTAGCACTAAAAATTACACAATCTTGAAGTTATTCACTGTTATACATAGAAAAAATATTTATTTTGAACATTAAAAGTTTAACAACAAACTGTTTTGATTTCTCAGAAATTTGTTTTCATTTTAATACTTTGTTTTTAATGCAGTTAACTAGCACTTTTCTGTTTTCCATAGTATATTTTAAGTTTTTAGTTTACAAAAGTGATGTCGAAAGAGTGCTAAATATTGAAATTAAGTTTGTTCTATACAAATAAAGGAACAAATAGAAATAGCGTCTTATGCTACTCTTAAGTCAAAAACAGAGTTTGATCTTGAAACCTAAATCAGTATTATAAAATGCTATATATGATCTATACTTTTCTATGCTACCTAAAGTATGAAACAAACATTTAACTACTATAAGAAATAAACTGCGATAGAGAGGTATTGGCAACCGTCACGAAAAAAAAATTATATATAGTACATGTCAAGTGTATATAGATACATAGAATATATCCCAAATATATTTGACAATGGTCTTACAAGCTTGATTAGGTTGGAGGGGCGGGCTGTGCCCAACAAATTTATAGATGTGTTTAAAAACAGCAAACCACAAATCGCTATTATAAGTAAAAATGTTATATAATCATCAACGTAATCATAACGATGAGTTATGTTAATAAATGTTCTTTATTTTTTCTGTTTTTTGGTGCTGTTAGCTGGATTTTTGTATTTTGTTTATATTATTGTTTATGTTTGATTTAAATTGAGAGAAGGGAAATTATTTGTTTTGTAATTGTTGTTAGTACAATTTAGTATGATGTATTCCATATGAACTTAATTATGGTGTTGAATGTAGACAATACAAAAGAGAAGTCTATTAGACATACCTAATATGAGCGCATACAGACTCTCATTAAGTGGCAGTTTCTAAACTTATTCAAAGTTCTTATGAAAACATTTTATTGAAAAAATCCATTATATCCAGCGTAATAATCTAAAATATATTTGGGTGACTTGAAGGTTAGGTTTTATCAATCTGTTTGATAAAATTGAAACAATGTCTTAAAAAAGTTTTACTTTTCTGCGGGTATAGAATAAACGATTCTATTTTGAGAAATTGTTGGAATTCCTCAAATTTGAATTGATTAAACAAAATTACAATTTTTAGATTTAAAAAGGGTTGAGAACTATGCCAGCACGTCAATGCATGCATTGAGGATTATTGTGACAATTTACTACAAATACTTAAATATGTGAGTTAAAACCCTTAATAGTATTATAATAATTCCCAGGCTTAGTTTGAGTGTCAATAATGCCATATTACCAAAACATAATAAATAGACAAATTTAATAATTGGACTGAAATTTAATTGCAATGTGAGTATAAAGTATTAAGTATAAATACAAAAAATTTAAATAGTTTAATAAATAATAAAGATCGGTCCTTGAGATCGGCAGTTAGTTTAAGCCACTTTTAACACTATATATGTTTCTTCAGAGCAAAAACATAGATTCTATGTTTTTGATATAAAGGTTATTTACAGATAGATAAAGGTTATAAAGGTTATTGTTTAGATAGCTAGCATTTTTCTTTTCTTTCTTTTCAATTCCTTTTTATATCTTATATCTGTCACTTTCAACATTAGAAGTAGAATTGTATTGTTATTTTGTTATAATATTTATTTAAAAACTCATTGTTAAGTGGATTGAAGGAGTTTGGTTCAATATGAATTTTATTTGCTGGCATAATTCTAATTCAGGGAAATATTTCCAATATATGATATTATTACTTCATTGCATTAAATTATTATCAACTGCAGTTAAGTTGGGAATTTTTTCTGTTATATATAACTACCATTTGTATTTCAGTTCCTAACTTTAAGCATCAGTTAATAATTTTCGTAACTGTAGTTGGGATTACTTTCCTCTATTCCGAAAAGGGTTTAAATAGGTATGTGTACTATTAACTAACTTTTGTTTTTCATTTCATTTATTTATGTATAACTTTAATCATCACAACTACAATATCATATAATTCTTAGTACCACGTTATAATGTCTGAATATTAGCATTCATTTTTTTAAGCGTGAAAAAAATTTTAATTTTTTTTAATTTAAAAGTTATATATAAATAATAATTGCTTTCCAATTATTAGAAAGTTGTCATATACATAAAAATAAAAAAATAAAATTTAATACATATTTAAAAGTATATTAATTTAAAAATAATTGCATATAATAGAATATGTTTAATAGAAGAATAAGATATATACTGTACTAATTTTAATGAAAATTATAAAACAATTTGAAATTGAACGTAAAAATAGTTTAGGTATATTTTTTTTTCTTAATAAATTTATGTTGAGTAATAGAGAAATTTACTTACATTTGACTTTCTTCTTTTTCAGTGTGTAATCTCAAAATTTTTAAGCTCAATATTTAAAAGAAATGAAAGTATTTAGTTTAAGTCATTAGTAAGATGTTATATATATAAATTTCTTAGAACGTTCGAAATGCAAGTTCTCAAACTAATCAAATATATATGTGCATACCGTGCTGTACGCTACATATACATATATATATATATTTTTAATTATATATCATTTTTATTTAAAATAAATTAATTTATTTATTTAGTCTAAAAAATTTTGACATCCTAAAAAACAGTTTTTTCAGCTAGTTTAAGTCTAAAACAAGTTTTCATAACAATTTATTTTGAGTTATTTACGCTCCATAATCATTTGTTGTTTTTGTTTTTATTCTTAGTATTTAGATTTTATATGTATATATATATATTCTTTTTTTATATATATTGTAATGTTTTTTTTTATAAATCTTTTATTATAATATATTTGAAAGGCATTTTACGTTAATTTAACGTAGATACGCAGTGCGTCAGCATTACGATAATTCAGTTATCTAG